GCACGCGGCGAGAGCGCGGGCAGCGCGTGCAGCACGGGCGGGCGCGCTCTCGGGGGCTCCGAACGGTCTCCGACGGCCCGGCGGTGGACCCCCCCCGCGGCGGCGGCCCCCGAGCGGCCACCTACCAGACCACCCCGGCCCAGCCCGAAGACCCGAAGGCCCGAATTTCGGGCTGGGGGGGAGGAGGAGGAGGAGGAGGAGGAGGAGGAGGAGGAGGAGGAGGAGGAGGAGGAGGAGGAGGGCTACCTACCAGGCCACCCCGGCCCAACCCGAAGACCCGAAAACCCGAATTTCGGGCTGGGGGGGGGGGCACGGGCTCCATGAGGGAAGCAAACAATGACAGAAACATAAAGACTCGGAGGTCTGCGCGGACTTCTCGGATCCGCGCTGGAGACCCCTCCCTGACGCGCGGAGCACGCCCGGGGCGGCGCCGGAGGCTCCAGCGCCGATCCGAAGAATCCGCGCGGACCTCTGAGATTTGATGTTTATGTCATTGTTCGTTTCCCTATTCGTGTGCTTTTTCCCTGTTCCCCGACCCCCCCATGACTGGAAATGGAGGGCAAATCGGAGCCTTCGGGTTGGGTTGGGGTGATTTGGTGGGCGGTGGCCGACCGAGGCAGAAGAGGCGGCAATCTGCTAAGAAGGAGCGCGGTCCAACGTCCTGCCCAAGGGCCGGGCTTGCGCCAGCGCCGACGACGAATATTCGAGGACCGAGGATCGACCGTCGAGGATCGAGGATCAAGCTTCGAGGAGCGAAGATCGACCGTCGAGAATCGAGGATCGAAAACGGCACAACCGTTCGGAGCTCCGCGCGTCATTATTCTCGGATCGGCGCTGAGGCCCCCTCCCTGGCGCGCGGAGCGCGCCCGGGGGCGGCGCTGAAGGCGCCGCCAAGGAGGCCCCAGCGCCGATCCAAGAAACCCGCGCGAGATTTCGAACGCTTATGTTCATGCAGCTGTTTTTTATTTATTCAACGGAGGGGAGGGGGCGCGCGAGGCGAGGGAGGGAGCGCAGTGCCAGAAAGCGCCCACCACCGAGCGCATGCTATGTAAGATTTCTGGGCGCGCGCGCGTCGCCCCTGGAGTGCCAGCGCAGCGCACACCTACTCTGTGTTTCTTAATAAGCCTGGAGGGGTACCCTCTGACGAGATCAACCTCGCCTCGTCGTCGCCTCGCGACGGGGGTCGGAGCGCCTTCGGCGCGCGGTGGCTGCCCGCGACGGGGGTCGATGTGAAGTTGTCGGCGGGGGTGACGCCCCCCCCCCCCGACGCCTATTCAGAAACTCGGAGTAGCATTAGCATGCCTGGGTGATGCCGGTGTTGGGAGAGAGGAGGAGGAGGAGGAGGGAGGAGAGAGGAGGGAGGAGGAGGAGGAGGGAGGAGGGAGGAGGAGGAGGAGGAGGAGGTGGGGGGGAGGGGAGAGGAGGAGGAGCAGGAGGAGCAAGAGGAAGAGGAGGAGGAGGTGGAGGAAGGGAGGGAGGAGGAGGAGGGAGGAGGAGGAGGAGGAGGAGGAGGAGGAGGAGGAGGAGGAGGAGGAGGAGGAGGAGGAGGAGGAGGAGGACGAGGAGGAGAGGAGAGGAGGAGGAGGAGGAGGAGGAGGGGGAGGAGGAGGGGAGGGAGGAGGAGGAGGAGGGGAGGAGGAGGAGGAGGAGGAGGAGGAGGAGGAGGAGGCAGGGGAGGAGGAGGAGGGAGGAGGAGGAGGAGAAGGAGGGAGGAGGAGGAGGAGGAGGAGGAGGAGGAGGAGGAGGAGGAGGAGGAGGAGGACGGAGGAGGAGGAGGAGGAGGAGGGAGGAGGAGGTTCAAGGGGAGGAGGAGGAGGAGGAGGAGGAGGAGGAGGAGCAGGGGAGGAGGAGGAGGAGGAGGAGGAGGCAGGAGGAAGAGGGGGAGGGGGGGGGAGGAGGAGGAGAGAAGGAGGAGGAGGAGGAGGAGGAGGAGGCAGGAAGAAGAAGAGGAGGAGAGGAGGAGGAGGAGGAGGAGGAGGAGGAGGAGGAGGAGGAGGAGGAGGAGGAGGGACACTCGAGGCATGCAGAAAAACGCACCCTGGACCCGGGCAGAGACCCGCGGAGCCTGCTGAGAGCAGCAACAGAAGCCTGCACCGGACCAGATCCGATATCTGACTCTGCCAGGGGGCCACATGCGAACCCTACCCCTGCCCCCCACGATTTCTGAGGGGGAGGGTGGGGTTCACTCCGTTCGGGAGCTCATGTGCGCGGCGCTACGGCGAGAGCCACCTTTTGAAAACCACTACCCCTCCATCTGTGAAGCTGTTGCCAACGTTTCAGCTTCAGGGTCAGAAATGGAGAGGACGTCTCAAGCGAAGCGCCCGGCCCGCTCTTCACAGTGGCCTCGGGGTGCGGCAGGGAAAAGTTATATACAAGGAGAGGGAATGGAAGAGGAGGAGGAGAAGGAGGTTGAGGAGGAGGAGGAGGAGGAAGAGGAGGAGGAGGAGGAGGAAGAGGAGGAGGAGCAGGAGGAACAGGAGGAGGAGGAGGAGGAGGCGCAGGAGGTTGAGGAGGAGGAGGAGGAGGAGGAAGAGGAGGAGGAGGAGGAGGAGGAGGAGGAGGAGGAGGCGCGGCGGCGAAGCGGTAACGGGCCGAGTCGAGCATAACTCCGACAAAACAGCAATCGAAATGAATTTCGAATTGTGCGACCTACCGTGCGCTAGTAATACTGCGAATGCAGGCCCCCCACGGCGGGAGCCCCGACTGATTGATCGCTCGACCAAGGCTGAACACGAAGCGAATTCCAGCACCCCGCACTCCCTGCAGCGAGCACCTAGTAGACGGAGCCACCAGGGCCAGAACCCGCCAACTAAGACCAGAAGCAGGAAGGACGACGGCCAACTATCCAGGAGTCCCACGGCCAGGAGTCCCACGGCCAGGAGTCCCACGGCCCGAAAGCGAGACTACCTGGAGGGTCCAGTGACCATTCTTACTAACTCTTTAAAACTGTACTGTCTTGGGGCAGAGGGAGGAGGGAGGGCGGCAGGTCGAGACGGTGCCTGGCCCTTGGACTCGCCCTCAGATGCAGCCCTTGGCGCAGGTGATCCCCTCCCCGCCCCAGTCGGAGCCGTCGACGCAACCGATGCTGTCGCACCAGTCGGAGGAGACAACGCCAAAGTCGCCGTCGCACCCGTCATAGTGGACCCCGCCACCGACGCCGTCGCACCAAACGAAGGCGACAACGTCGCCGACACCGTCGCCCCAGTCATAGTGAACCCCGCCACCGACCTCGTCACATCTTTCATAGCATCGAGTCCTCCCAATCGTCGATCGCCAGCTGCAGGATCCGCTCTACGTTGGATCTCGGGGCAACTCCTGCTTTGATCTCGCCGCCTAGCTGGACGATGCAATCCGTGAATATCTTTGTCAACTCCACGTCCGCGAGCGCGAACAAGAGCTTCGCATTGCCCTCCTTGTAGCACTGGCTGATACGGAATCCGCGCACCAGCAGGCTCATGTCCGTCATGCTGGTGATCTGATCGAGCTTGATCTTCTGCTGCTCCCACAATCCCTTGTTCCGAGCTCCGACCTTGTCCCCTGCCTTGCCCAGTGCGTCGGCCGTGACCAGGAACACCTGAACGTGAGCAGGGCCCATCTCCGCCTCTGGCAGCGGCTTGGAGTTGTCGAGCTTCCATGCCTCGCGCATCGCCGCCGCCTTCGTGGCGTAGGCGCGCCCCGCCTGAAAGGCGGCCTTTGCAATCTCCGATGACTCCTCCAAGATCACCGTCTGATAGGTGGCCGACAGCATCTGCCTGATCATGAACGAGTTGCCCAGCACTGCTTTGACCAGCACGGGCATGAGCTTCGCCACCATGGTCTGCGACATCACAGGCAGCTTCTCGAGCGTGTCGTCTGGCAGGCCGTACGCTTTGCCCACCGCCATCTTCACGTCGTTGGCGTTCCCCCCTGCCTCCGCAGAGGCGCCGCTCGCGGCGGCACCCGAGGCGGCCGCGGGCTGGCGCCGAGGTGGCCGACTGCCGCGGTCCGCCGCTCCACGTCGTCCGTGTCTCCCACCACGACCTCGGGAGGCAGCCGCTGAGCCAGAGCGGTCTTGTCGCCCTTTGGCTCTCTCGCCTCGTCCTTGCGAGCGGCTGCGGGTCGCCGCCGCCTCGAGGTCCTCTTCCTTCAGGCGAAACATCACGAAAGTAGTGTGGGCGGCGTAGTTGGCAGCACTGACGAATGTGGGCGTAGAGCAGATCACGACTGGCGAAAATCTCGGTGCTTGAGCAAGCGTACATGGCATCGTGGGCATTCGGACCATCCCTCCACAGTGACGCACGGGTTATCAGCGAAAAAGGGCACGTGAGGCTGTCTGGCTCGATCACGTCGTGCGCATACGGTGTAGCTCGTGGTGGGCATCTATTGTGCAGTACAGCCGTTACCGTGTGCTCCTGTGCTATGCGTCTCGTGCGGAAACTCTGCCTGCAGTATATGCACTCATTCGTGATTGTCATACTGTGCGCGATCGATCTGCAGTGGAGGAGGAGGAGGAGGAGGAGGAGGAACAGGAGGAGCAGGAGGAGGAGGCGGAGGCTGAGGAGGAGGAGGAAGAGGAAGAGGAGGAGGAACAGGAGGAACAGGAGGAGGAGGAGGAGGAGGAGGAGGCGGCGGAGGCGGAAGACGAGGAGCGTACAAGGAGGCAGCGAGCTGGGCGCCCCGGAGGCGACGAGCGGGACGCCCGAGGCGCGGGCCCGCGGGCGGGGAAGCAGGGGAGGGCGGGAGCGGGGAGAGAGGACGGGGCCGGGAGGGGCAGGGGGGGCCTCCTCCTCCTCCTTCCTCCCTCCTCCTCCTCTCTCCTCCTCCTCCTCCTCCTCCTCCTGCTCCTCCTGCTCTTCTCCTCTTCCTCCTAGCCTTCCCCCCCTCCTCCCTCCCCATTTTCCTCCTCAGACCGGGAGGCCACAAGGCCGAGGGCCTCCTCACGAGGGGCGGAGGCCCTGGGTGACGGCGGCACAGGGGCTGCCCCAGCGGACGGCTCTCGGCGGCCGGGGGGCAGCCCAGAGCTAGCTGGCAGCGGGCGCCGCAGGTGCCCCGGGCTGCTCTCCAGGGGGGCCGTTCGGCTGGATGATGACCTTGACGGGCTCGCCCGAGGCGAAGTAGCTGAAAGCGTCGTTCACCTCGCTGAGAGGGAACGTCTTTGAAATCAGAGGCTTTAGGTCGATCTTCCCCGAGGACACCAGCGCGAGGGCCGTCGGGTACAGGTTGCAATACCTGCAGGCACTCAACATACCCCTGAGTGGGCCCTCGGGCGACCGGCCAGCCCCTGAGAGGCCAACAACATGGAAAGACCATGTAACAAGTACTTGGAGTCTCCTGTCCTGCACTGAAGCACCCTTTGACTACCCTTCATCACCGCCTGGGACGGCGTCCAGCAGGCCTCAAAACGACATATGAGCTGCGCAATGCTAAGATGGGCCCAGGAAACTCGAGAACTCCACGAGAGGGTCCCTAAAACGGCCCAAGACCGACCTAGGACGCCTTCGAGGCAGCCCGTGACGGCCCCCAAGAACCCTAACACCCCTCCAGATGGTCGCAAGGCACCCAAGACAGGTCAAACACTCCCACTGGACTTCTCACTGAGCCCTAGACGGAAGAGGCCCTCTACCCAGAGACCCCCCAGAGACCCCAACAAGCCCCAATCCGTCCCTCGCAAGAGGGAGGGATGATGATACGTGGCAGACACTAGGACCCCGTAGCATCACGACACCACGACGCACTGAATAACACCACGCCGACATCACGACTCCGAGACTCCCGAGACGCCCAACACCACCTCCTCGTTGGCTGCGGCATCTGTTCCCCTGGCCCGCCTGCTCTCTTGTTGATGGAACTATCTAAGAAGCAAGGAGACAAACCTACATCACTTAGCACGTGCACGTGCATATACGGTCGGTAACTTTTGCTCAGCGTGTCGCCGCGGCGGCCCCAGCGACAAGCTATGCCCTGCAAGCGGATAGCGTGTCGCTCCGCTCCGCGGAGCAGAAGGTCGAGAAAAGCTCAGGACGCTGACGCCTGGGGAGCGCAAAGTAGAGGATGTGCCGCGCAGAAGCGAGGCGGGCCAGAGCCGGCCGCGCGAAGCGCCAACCAAAAAACCCTGAACATCTGCGCCCACTTGCGCGCGCACACGCCCATGCACGTGCAGCGACGCAGCCGTGCTGAGCCACACCGAGGCGCCTGCAAGACCACGCAGCGCTGCGCCCGGGCAGGGCCAGAGCTCCACTCTGGAGCAACGCGTGGCGGCGGATGCAGCGCAAGCAGAGCGTTAGCGGCCGACTCTGCTCTTTACCCAAATGAGGGGGAACCTTAGGGGGGGCCAGCGAGGGGGGGGCCAGCGAGGGGGGGGGGGGGGGGGAACATCGACCCGGAATCGGCGATATGTCGCCGATGGGTCGGCGATTGGCCCCTGATAGCAAAACCGCGCGATTCTGGGAGGGGGGGCTATCGGGCCCCCATCGGCGATAAAGGGTCGAGTGAGAGTCGATGCATCCTCCCCTGAGCATTTCCCCCCCCTGACGTTACCCCTAAACAAAAATCATAGGTGGCGGCATCCGAACACTACCCCCACCAACCATCGGCTCTCCTGAATCGATTGGAGGCAGGGGTAGGGTTCGGATTGCGCCATGCTCGGCGAATCCCCAACCCTACCTTCGCCGCCCATCGAGCTGGCCGAATCATTGGTCGGCGAGGCTAGGGTTCAGATTTTGCCGCCGATTCTGAGCAACGACGAGGTGCCTGTACACACCGATGATATCGATCTCGCGCCGCGCCGCCTCCTGCAGCCGCACCGGCGTCGAGTCGGAGAAATTGGCCACCACGCACGCGACGCCGCCGGACACGGCCGCGCGCACGCAGACCTCGAGGGCCGAGGGCACACCGCAGCACTCGAAGCACGCGTCGAACTTGTCGCCGACGGCCTTCTCCATCTCGTCCACGAGGTCTGGAGTGTTCGCCTTGAAGCGAAAGTCCACCCCGAGGCTCGCAGCCTGCTCGGGGCTCCCAGAACGGTTTTGGCGACAGCCCGTGCGGCGGGCGGCGGCCCCAGAATGCCTGAAGACCTCGTCGCGCTGTCCGTCACCACACGGCTTAGGGGACCTCGGAGGCCGTGAACGCCCGAGACATCCTCGGAGAAAGACCCAAGTCCCAAAACTGTGCGGTCACCCCCGGGATCCCCACTGACTCACCGCACGGCATGATCCCCGCACCGCTCGGGGGCCCCCGACCTCCAGAGGGGAGGCTCAAGGGCGCACTGGGGGAGCCTAATGACCTGGCACCGATCGCGGAGCGGCCCGTTCGTAGGGCGAGGAGGGGGTGCAGGAGGCGCAGAGGACGAGGAAGAGGAGCAGTGCGAGTCGTGCGGGCGATGTCCGATCTTCGGTGATACGGTCGGGAACTCTTGCGTAGAGTGTCGCTGCGGCGGCCCTTGCAACGCGGATCGAAGAGAGAGAGCGACGCGGATCGCAGAAATCTGCTATGGCATGGATCTTGGGCGATACAGCGCTTCAAATACAAAGGGTGACAAATGGATCAGGGAGCGATTGAGCCAGGTGGGGCAATGAGACTAGGGGGACGATTCAGGCAGGGGCGCGCGGGTATTAGCCAAGCGATCGGGGTGGGGTCGCGACTTCAGGAGAACGCGATGCATGTTTCCTCCTCCTCCTCCTCCTCCTCCTCCTCCTCCTCCTCCTCCTCCTCCTCCTCCTCCTCCTCCTCCTCATCCTTCTCATTCTCCTTCTCCTCCTCCTCCTCTCCTCCTCTTCCTCCTCCTCCCCCTCCTCTTCCTACCACACCTCCCCCCCCTCCTACTACTTCACAGTCGCATCCATCCCGCCCTCCTCCTCCTCCTTCTCCTCCTCCTCCTCCTCCTCCTTCTCTCTCCTCTCCTCCGTGTCTCCTTCGTCTCTCTTCCCTTTCCTTGCCCCTCCCCCTGTATCACTCCTCCTCTCCCCTCCTCCTCCTCCTCCTCCTCCTCCTCCTCCTCCTCCTCCTCCTCCTCCTCTTCCTCCTCCTCCTCCTCCTCTTCCTCCACCTCCTCCTCCTCCTCCTCCTTCTCCTCCTCCTCGGTGGAAGCAACTCCCTGTCGCACCACACGACGTGTCGTCAGGGCGGGTCGGGCGCTTCTCCTGAGACGTCCCACCAACTTATGAGAGCAAGGCTGGAAGTTACCAACAGATGCACGGCCGGAACACAACTGGTTTTCAAAGTGAGCCTCTCGCCGTGGCGCCGCACACGGTCGCCTCGAACAAACAACAGTTCGAACGGTGGAGGGCGGCTCGCTTCCAAACCGGGACTCGCTCGCCTTCGCGCCGCACACACTCGCCTGGAACAGATCAGCGGGTGGCAGAATGTGGGGCGGTTCGTGGTACAGTGGGACCCTCGCCTTGGCGTCGCCCACTCTCGTTCTGCAGAGTCGAGCAGCTGCCCGGATGGGTGGCGGCTCCCTTTCGAAACGAGGCTCCTGCCTCAGACCTCCTCGCATCTGCTGATCCGAAGTTCGAGCGTGCACAGCACATTGCACGGGCGCCGGCGGCTCCTGTCCACACCGGGCTCTCGCTGGCACGGCGAAGCAAAAGCACGGATCGAGGACAGACGCCTAGCAAAGCGGAGTGCTCGCTGGACGCCTGATGAGCGTTGTGACCCCACCTCCCATTCATCTCACATAGCTACTCCAGATTTCGTAATAAAGGGAGGGAGGTTTCATTTCGGTGGGGGTCTCTTCCAGGCTATCTTGGAGGGCCTGGGGGGGTCTGGGGACGATGTTTTGGAGGGTTCTCCCACGGGGGAGGTCTGAAATGGCTTGTCTTGGAGGGTCCAGACCCCCTCCCTTTTATTACGAAATCTGGAGTAGAAAGATGGAAACGGGGGTTCTTCACAAAACAGGGCATCGCCTGAATGGCAGGCCTACGGTTCGGTCGGGCATGTCCTCCTACAGGCGGATGTTGGGAGGATAAGACAAAGGTTGATAATACTGGAAAAAAAAACGCTTAATACAATTAGCATTAAAAAACGTCCCCTGATGATTGGACGATTCTTGAATACACCTCCTGTTCAGGGACATGCACGACTTAAGCCTACGGGGCGTTCGTGCGTCAGGGAGGGCGCGTCTCGCATTGGACAGGAATGATGCAGGGACTTGCGAGAAGGGGGACTCGGGCAGGGAGGGCGTCTCGCAGCATCGTTGACGCATCTTGGTTGTACTCTGGTCATCCTCCTCATCCTCCAGTAGAATAATATATATAATATATATAATATATATATATATATATATATATTAACTTTTTTTTTTTTGGTTGCGCGGATTTCCTGGATCCGCGCTGGCCCTCCCCCCTCCCTGGCGCGCGGAGCGCGCCAGCAGCGGCGCAGGAGGCGCCGCCGAGCGACCCAGCGCGGATCCAAGGCAATCCGCGCGGAGCGCCAAAAGTTTATGTTTATGACGTTTATTATTCTTCGATCCAAGGCCCGCCCTCGCAATCATCCCCCAGCATGTAGGCTACGACGCTGCGCCCTCCCCCGAGCAGAGGGTGCCTCCCCATGGACAGATCCTCCGACCCCGGAGGGCTGCCCAACGGCGGTCCGCCCGCTCGTGAGCCTGAAAGCGTGGTCAATGATCCTCCTCCTCTTCCTCCTCCTCCTCCCACTCCTCCTCCTTCGCCTTCTCCTCCTCCTTCTCCTCCACCTCATCATCATCATCATCATCATCATCATCATCATCATCATCATCATCATCATCAGGTATCATCATCATCATCATCATCATCATCATCATCATCATCATCATCATCATCATCATCATCTCATCACCATCACCATCACCATCACCATCACCATCACCATCACCATCACCATCACCATCTTCATCACCATCACCATCACCATCATCATCACCAGCAGCATCATTAGCGGCATCCTCATCATCATCATAGTCATCAGCATCATCATCAGCAGCAGCAGCGCATCATCATCATCATCATCATCATCATCATCATCATCAGCAGCACCATCATCATCATCATCATCATCATCATCAGCATCAGCATCATCATCAACATCAGCATCATCATCAGCACCATCACCATCACCATCACCATCGTCATCACCATCACCATCATCATCATCATCATCGTCATCATCATCAGCAGCAGCAGCGCAGCATCATCATCATCATCATCATCATCATCATCATCGTCATCATCATCAGCATCATCATCATCATCATCATCATCATCATCATCAACGTCACCATCACCATCAGAATCATCATCATCAGCAGCAGCATCATCATCAGCATCATCATCGTCATCATCATAATCATTACACTCATCATCTTCATCATCACCACCATCATCATCATCATCATCATCATCAACATCAGCATCACCATTATCACCATCCGCAGCATCAGCATTATCATCATGATCCTCATCATCCTCATCATGCTCAGCATCACCACCACCACCACCACCATCATCATCATCATCATCATCATCAGCATCATCATCATCATCATCATCATCATCATCATCATCATCATCATCACCATCACCATCATCATCATCATCATCATCATCATCACCATCATCATCATCATCATTATGATCATCATCATGGCCATCATCATCAGCAGCAGCATCAGCATCATCATCAACATCATCATCACCGTCACCATCACCATCATCGTCAGCATTAACAGCATCATTATCATCACTATCGCAATCGCCATCCTCATCATCAGCATCACCATCATCACCGCCTTCATCATCATGCCAGCATCAGCATGATACTCATCATTGTCATCATCGTCGGCAGCATGATCATCCTCGTCACCGCCATCATCATAATCATCAGCAGCACCAACATCAGAATCAACATAATCATCATCAGCATCATCAGCATCATCAACCGCAACATCAGCATCATAATCATGAGCAGCATCAGCAGCATCATCATCAGCAGCATCAGCATCAACATCATTATCATGCTCATATTCCTGCCCATCAACCACCACCTCCTCCTCCAAGATAAACAGGATTCCTTCTGATCGCGCATAACCCGATGGAATCACTTGGGGGGTCCAGGCCCGCTATGACACCCATCGGTGGATGGAGAAACAAACAACGCAATGGGAAGGGATGGGCGAGAAGGGTCGGATGTCAGATATGGCGTGAGCGCATCTAGCTGGTCCCCCACCTCTCTATTCTATCCGTCCCCCTCCCCCATCCCACTCCTCTCCCACATGGTGTACACTTGGCGGTCTTACCTGTGCTCGTACGAGTACTCGCGCTGCTGTCCCGGGATCTCGCCCCGTCGACGCCCGTCGGCGCCTCGCAGCTGCCCCGTGCACTGGCTGGGCTCTCCGGGCTCCCGCCCCGTCGCCAGCAGTGGGCGCCTCGTGGGCGCCCCGTGCGCTGGCTGGGTCTTCCCGGGCTCCCGCCCCGTCGCCGACCGCGGGCGCCTCGGAGGCGCCCCCAGGCTGGCCATCGCTCGGACGCCCATTCCCTGTGTTATTTTCGGTTTCGTGCGTGGTTTTTTCGCCAAATGATCAAGGATGCTCCTCGATGGTCCTCGCAGAAGGAAAAATGCACACGTCCGAGCGATGCCAAGCAGGGGTTGGCCGGGTCTTGCTGGTCCTCGCCCCGTCGCAGCCCGTGGGCGCCTCGTGGGCGTGTTTCGTCGGCGCCCCGTCCACGCGAAAGCCCACCGGCCTGTGTTTCTTCGGGGGCTCGCCCCGTCACCGCCCGTCAGCGCCTCGTGGGCGCCCCATGCGCTGGCCTGCGGTTCTGGGCGCGCACACAAAGGGCACCCCACCCTGCAGATTGCACACCATCTTTTGCTCGAGATCACGTGCACCGCGCAAACTCTCTCTCAAGGGAATGACCACCCCCCCCTTCGAGGTTCATCGGAACCCTGTGGGGCAGTGCGAATTAGGCATGAGTGCGCGCGGTCGCTCATCTTGCGCATGAACGCATACCATCACAGCCAAGCCGGTATCGGACCCCCCTTTTTTTTATCTCTGTCATATAACACCATGACCGCATACTTGTGTCTGGAAATATCATGTTCCGAACATTCGATGCCCAAAAAACACCACCAGGTTTGCACGTGCGCACATGTCAAATCAAGCTAAGCACATTGGCTCTGCAAGCGTAGCATCGCACAAACGTAAAAATTGACAGCTCATCAAACGTATTACAAATTTTCTGCCCGCGCGTACTTGCTGAAAGCCCCGGGAAACCGTGTGATATCAGCCGTCTCCATCAAAACCCGCTTTCTCACCTCACCATGCGGTCCACGCGGGCCGGAACCTATTCAAAACCATGGGCGGCCGAAGCATTTCATGACAGGGCGCTGCACAAACACGTAAGAGCCACGCGCTTATCAAGAGAAGCTGCGCATATTCTTGAACTTTTTCGCGCGCACACTTCTTCCACAACGCCTTCTTCATCCGCGCCATCGCACGAACGTCGCGATTATCATAATAAATCGCCGCCTGTGCCCCCACCATCAACGCAATCACCTTCATCACCTTCAGCATCACCGTCCTCACCAGCATCGGCGCCAGCATCGGCCTTGCCGTCGCCATCGTCACCATCGCCTCCACAGCCGCTACTATTATCATCGTTACCGCCGTTGCCGACGTCATCATGATATCGCGCCTGCCCGAGTCACGGACCCGCACTGAAGTGCCCGCGCGCCAGCGTTGCCCTTGAGACGCGCTGAGAAGTTCCCATCGGTAAGCGCCATCGCGGCCGCATCAGGTGTGCCAAACCAGCTGGTTGCCCTGCTCGCGAGCATTCTCGCGCCAGCGCGGCCGCACAAATACGTTGGCAAGTGTTAACCGAGAATCACAGTTGTGGCCGCATGTGTTTCGCGAGCAGTGGTGATTTCGCGAGCAGTGGAGTTGACAGCTCATGGCTTGACAAAAATGACTTGCACTGCAGAGCTTGCACCACATAGATTACAACACATAGTGTGCACCACATCGCATGCACCACATGGATTGCAAAACACTGATTTGAGCTCCAGAATGCCAGAGCTCACAATTGGGGTCAACGCTGACCAGCCTGTCCCCCTCTGATTGTGAATACTACGTGTTGCTATTCCGTATCCTCCTCCTCCTTCTCCGCATCCTCCTCCTGTGGCATACTCGGTGCGTGTGAAAGGGTGGCGCGTGTCGTTTTATATGCTCTTTTGGGATCCAGTGGCATTCCTCCAGGGACCCATTGGAGCCCGCAAGACGAGCGAGACCCGTAATATGTTTGCCCCATCTAGAAGGCGGTGGCCGTGGACGTCAACAAAAAGAACAGCCAGCAATATGCATCATGATCACCACCACCACCACCATCGTCATGACGTCACCACTGTCATAATATGCCCCCTCCTTCCCACCGTCATCATCATCATCATCATCATCATCATCATCATCATCATCATCATCATCATCATCATCATCATCATCATCAACAGCAGCAGCAGCAGCATCAGCAGCAGCAGCAACCTCCTCTTCCTCCGACTCATCCTCATCATCATCCCTCTCCCTTTCCCCCCCCTGCCTGTTCCTCCCTTCCGTCCTTCTCCAATTTCGCATCCACCATGTCGGTTATGGCCACCGTCACGGCCCCCGCCGCCTTCGCGCAGAGCGCGGTCATCAGGCCTCGAGGCAGCCAGAAGGAGGTGGAGATGCACAGCGAACCGCGCACCCTGCCAGAAGCGAGGAGGGGAAGGGCCAGAGCAAACCCAAGATGCATCAATGATGCTGAAATACACCCTCCCATCCCAGACCCCCGTTTCATGAGTCCCTACGTGGCTGCGCGCACGAGGGGGTGGAGGAAGGGGGGGAGGGCGTCTTCGAAGGAGGCGGCTTCTTGGAAGGCGCCAGCCTTACATCTGTAGATCAGGCCCGCGCCTTCTAAGAAGCAGGGTTGCTTCTGAGAAGCCCTCCCCCCCTCACCCCCCCTTCTGCGCGTGGCTGGCCTGCGGGCCTCACCTCTTCAGGCGGCACCCCCTGGAGAGACCGGCACCCCACGGGCCCGCCATGTTCGGACGAGAGCTCCGCGTCGAAGAGGAACGGAATGGCTTGTGTCCGTCCAGCGAGTAGCAAGACAGGCTCGAAGGTGCAGCCTTCGTGCCATGAAGAAGCGCCACAGAAGAAAGGAAGGGGCTGTTCGGGCTACGGCGAACGCCGGCCAAGAAAGAACAGGTTTCCCGATCTAGACCCAAGAGAAGGCCCGAAAATCGGAGCCGCTCCTCAGCCCAACGTGGCCCTCATTTCAACGCCTTGACTGTGAGGTGTCGAACGACATATCTCCGTTTCGAAAAAGGACCGCCCCCACCTGTGCAACTCTCTCGTTTGGCAATGAGCGTCGAGGAAGTCTTGAGCGAAAGCCCATCTTGAAAATGAGCCGCCCTCCATCCGTACAGCTGTACCATGTGGTCGCGCTTCTGGTCTTTCCAGTTCAATGGGTGTCAACCGAATGCCAAGTTTGACAGAGGACCGCGTTCTATCCACGCAGCTGCTGCATTTTTCCCCTCGCACGAACGGCTCTCAACATGGACGAGTCTCCGGCGACAGCAGCATGATAAAACGGAAGGAGGTCGGCGACGGCGAGAGCGGCTGCTGCGTACGCTTACTGGCCCAGCGCTCCGAGGGGCGCAGCGGCCTGCGCCGCCCCGGGCGAGGGCGTCCGCCCGAGGCGGCGAGCCCGCGGAGGCCGCGGCACCGCCCGCCGACGCCAACGCCGACACCGACGCCGGCGTCAACACCCCGCCGACGACGACAGCCGCCTCGAACCCAGCGCCGACCTCAGCGCCCAGGCCAACGGCACCGGCGACGGGAGCCTCTGCGTCGCGGCCGCGGTCCACAGAACGTGCGGCGAGGGGCTGGGCATCTCCGGCGTCCGTGTCACCTGCGCCCTCCTCGGCCCGAGCACTGCTATCCGAATGGCCGACGAGAGGCTGCGGTCGCCTGCAATCAGGTTGGGTCTGCCCAGAGAGCCGCGGAGCACATGCAGGGCAGAGTGCTCTGGAACAGGCGATACAGTCGGACTTTGATGGGCACGATTTGAAGGGCGGTCTCTCAACCGTTTTCCCTGATTCGACTCTCATATTCCCCGCCCGTTTCCAAGCCCCAGCACGCGGCGCAAGCCCACCGCCAAGACGCGCAAGACGTCTCGGCTTGCAGGGCTACTCGGCCACCTCGCCGAGAGGGCGAGTGACCGATCCCACAGGCCTGGCGTGTCCGTGGCCACCCCAAATCGACCTGCTGCATGCCCTCCACCTTGTCCTGGGTTTCCCGCAGGTGCCTCCCAAGTACCTCTCCCGGGCTGCCCCGCAGGCACCTCCGAAGCACCTCTCTTGGGCTGCCCGCAGGTACCCCCCGAGTGCCTCTCCTTGGCTGGAGGGGAGGCGCGGTTGGGCGCGGCCTTGCCGCTGGCGGCTCCGCGCACAGGGGCTATCCGGCGCCGGTCCGCGGGGCCGCCAGGAGACGACGACGAAGCCGTTCGAGGCGGAGGCTTCGCGAGGCATGTGGTGGCTAAGAGATTCCTGGCAGGCATAGCGGGAGCCTGCTGCTCTGATACAGTCGGGGCGCTGACCTAAGGAACCCTAAATAAGGAACGAGGCCCCTTCTTTCCACAAGTGAAGGTTCGATTTCCGGTCGAAAACATAAGGAACACCTGAGGCAAGCTGTGAAAACACTTGAGGAGAGCGGAGCCCCTCCCCAACCAAGAGGGTTCCTTCTTCAGGGCCCCGACGGTATCCCCCGCCCCCCCCCAGATGGCGAGGGCCGCTGGGGGGCGGGGGGCTGCGGCGGCTCGACCCCCCAGGCCAGCAGCGAGCGGCGAGCAGGAGGAGGAGGAGGAGACGGAGGAGGAGGGCTAGCGGGGGAGAGCGCGGGGGGGCAGGAGGCGGGGAGGCCGGAGGAGGAGAAGGTGGTCCCCCATCACTCCTGTTGCGGTCCACCTCCCCCCACGCCCTCATCCTCCGTCCATGCCCCCTCCTTCCACATGCCTCTTAACCTCACCGACTCCAACACCACCACCACTATCGTCACCATGCTCCCCCTCTCTCGTCCCACATGTCCCTCGTCCGCCCGTTCTGCTGGTCTGCCGCACTCCTGGCCCCATAACGATCATCAGCATCATCATCGTCATCACCATCATCATCATCAGCAGCAGCAGCAGCATCATCGTCATCATCATCAGCACCACCGTCATCACAACTAGCAGCACCATCAGTAGCAGCAGCAGCATTAGCATCAATAGCATCAGCATGATGATCAGAAACAGCATCGTCATCGCCACCATCACCACAACCACAACCACAGACACCGCCATCAGCATCATCACCGTCATCATGATCATCATCGTCAGCATACTCATCATCAGCATCATCATCAGCATCAGTAGCATCAGCATCATCATCATCCTCATCCGAGTCATTATCAGCATCATTCTCAGCATCGTCATCGTCATCATCATGATCAGCATCATCGTCATCATCATCAGCATCATCATTATCATCAACACCATCATCATCATCATCATCATCATCATCATCATCATCATCATCGTCATCATCATCAGCATCGTCATCATCATCACCATCCTCATCCTCATCATCACCATCAGCATCACCAGCCGCATCTGCATGATAAGCATCATCATCACCCTCAGCATCGTCATCCTCGTGGGCATCGTCATGGGAATCGTCATCATCATCGGCCGCATCATCATCATCATCATCATCATCATCATCATCATCACCAGCATCACCATCATCATCACCACCATCTTCATCATCAGCATCATCATCATGATCAGCATCATCATCACCACCATCAACATCACTTTCACCATCACCATGACCATCATCATCAGCAGCACCACCATCATCAGCAGCATCATCCGAAGCATCATCATCATCATCATCATCAGCACCACCATCATCAACAGCATCAGCATCGTCATCGTCATCATCAACATCACCATCATTACCATCAACCTCATCAGCATCAGCATCCACATAATCGTTGACATCATCACCATCACCAGCATCACCACAAACATCACCGTCGCAGTCGCAATCGCCATCAGTTGCATCATCATCAACACTCGCATCTTCATCAGCACCACCATCACCAACATCATCAGCATCATCATCATCGTCATCGTCATCGCCATCAGCATCACCATCACCATCATCTGCATCACCAGCACCCTCCTCATCATCATCAGCAGTAGCAACATCATTATCATCAAAATCATCATCCGCATCATCCTCCTCATGAGCATCATCATCAGCATCATCATCATCAGCATCATCATCATCAGCATCATCATCATCACCATCATCATCATCTTCATCATCAGCATCGTGGTCGTCGTCGTCGTCGTCGCCGCCTTCCCATCCACCTCCCTCATATCCCTCCTCCTCTTCATCCTGCGCACGCCTGTCCGCCCGCCCTCCCGCCTTCCCTCCCTCCTCCACCCCCCCCCTTCCCCGCCGCCCCCACTGCCTCATCTCTCACCCCTCGTTTTCGGTGGCTCTCGCTCTCGCTCGCTCCCTCTCTCTGTGTTTCTCTCTCTTTCTCTCTCTGTCTCTCTCTCTCTCTCTCTCTCGTTCTCTCTCTCTCTCTCTCTCTCTCTCTCTCTCTCCCTCGCTCCCTCTCCCCGTCCCCCCACCATTACAGGAACTCTCTCCAACACTTCCCCAACATTCCTCCTCCAACTCCTCTTCTGCCTCTTCCCCCACACAGCATCATCCTCCTCATCCTCCTCCTGCACCTCCTCCTGCGCCTACTCATCCTCCTCATTCCCCCCACCGTCAAAATCATGATATTCAACATCATTCTCACCATCATGATCGTAAGCAGCAGCAGGATACATCTCGTCACAAGCAGAACCATAATCATCAGTATCATCATTATCATCAGCATCATCATCCGCATCATCACCCTGACCATCATCACGATCATCATCGTCATCATCAGCATCATCAGCATCATCAGCAGCATCATCAGCAGCATCATCATCAGAAGCATCATCATACACATCAGCATCCTCATTATCATCAGCAGCAGCAGCAGCATCAGCATCACCAGCCGCATCTGCATCATAAGCATCAGCATCCTTATCATCGTCATCGTCATCGTCATGGGCATCGTCATCATCATCATCAGCATCATCATCATCATCATCATCATCATCATCATCATCATCATCATCATCATCATCGACATCAGCACCAGCATCATCGGTATCATCATCATCACCGTCACCGTCATGGGCATCACCATCAGCATCATCATCATTATCATCATCATCATCATCATCATCATCATCATCATCATCATCATCATCTTGATCGCCACCACCACCACCACCACAACAGATAGAATCGTCATTATGACAGCCACCACCGTCATCATCACCATCGTCGTCGTCACTATCCTCCTCTTCCTGATCCTCCTCCTTCCTCATCATCATCATCATACTCATCCTCATCATCATCAGCAGCAGCAACATGAGCACCATCATCATCATCATCATCATCATCAGCAGTAGCATCATTATCAGCAACATCATCATCACTATCATGATCATGATCATGATCATGATCATGATCATCATCATCATCATCATCATCATCATCATCATCATCAGCATCCGCCGCCGCCTCAGGCGTCATCCAGCTCGTCCATCTCCTCCTACCCCTTGCACTCCCCCTCCTCCTCGTCCTTCCGCTCGTTCCCCTGCTTCTCCCTCTCCCTCTCCCTCCCTCGTGCCCCCTCCTCCTTGAGGTGGGGTGATAAGTTTCGGGCGGACCATGGAGCCTATAGGCCCGGCGCCCGTGACGAGGACCTTGTGGCCGGTGCTAACCTTCGCGCGGGTGACCGCCTGCAGGGACACACGCGAATCAGATCATCCCTCATCAACCTCCTGCAATCATCATTATCATCATCATCCTCAGCAGCAGCAGCATCACCATCATAATCATTGTCCTCGTCATCGTCATCGTCATGACCATCTCATCCTGATCATCATGACCATCGTCCTCATCGTAATCATCCTCATCATCCTCCTCAGCATCGTAATCGTCATCGTCATCGTCATCGTAATCATCATCATCACCACCAGCAGCATCAGCATCAGCGTCAGCATCAGCGACATTATCAGCATCAGCATCAGCATCAACATCAACATCAGCGTCAGCATCAGCATCAGCAACGCAGCATCGGTTGCGGCTTTGGCTCGAGCCGTTCGGGAGGTGCCCTGAAAGCCGCGCCGCACACCGCCAAAGCCGTGGACTGGGCCATCGGGCCGCCAGAGACGTGTACGGGTCATCGTCTTTCAAGGTGACGCTGGTGGGCATTGTGGTCATGGTCATGGTGGTGGCCGTCAGCGTCGTGAGCGTGGTGGGCATGGTCATCGGCGCTGCTCGCATCAGCATCTCCTCTGGCTGGGTGAAGTGGCGTCGCTTTTGCGAGCTGTTCGCGCTGTTTGGCTTTGGCCTCATGGTCTACGACGCGTACGCCGCGGTGTGGGTCCTGGACCTCGCCATGTGCTTCCTCGTAGTGCTCAGTGTGGTCTTGCTGGTGGGCTGCGCCGTCCTGCACCTGATCGGGGGCATGGCCATCGTGTCGCTAAAGCTCGTGCTGCTAAACATGCTTCTTGTGGTGGTAGGCTGCATTACTTAGGTTTGCAGGTATGCCGCACCAACCCTCTGGTCACGCTGTGCATCGTGGGGCGTGTGTGTGCTACGCGCTGGTGTCGGTGCGCCGCTTCGTGCTCAGCATTGAAAGGCTTGCTGTGTGCCGCCCTCGTCGCGCAGCCTGGCACGTTGGCCGTTTTCATGTGGGCCCCTGGAGAAGGCAACTGGCTGTTAGTTCACATGCCAGCCTGGCTCACCTTCCATGTGGAACTGATCCACTCGAGCGTGGTGGGGATCGGGCACCGTTTCGCCCTGTTTGCCTCCGTGTTCGTGCTGCTCCTGGCCCTTGGCTGCGTGGACCATCCTGGCCTGGTCCGTTCTCTGCACTTGGCCGCCCGGGTAGGAGGCGCCGCCGTCGGCTGTGGTCTGGGCGCATGGCCACGCGATGAGTGCTGAGGTTCCCCCAAGTGACGTCTTTACCAAGGCGGTCAGTCGAGCCTTGCCGGAGTCGAAGCATGCCTGGATGGCGGCAGATCGTGGCGCACGGGAGAGAAAGGAATACAGGCGAGCGGTCCTCGGATCCTCCTCCTCCTCTCCTCGCCTCCGTTCAGGCTGCGTGAAGAATTATGTGTAGCATGATCCCGATCTTCATCAAATTCCGCGTCCTCCGCCTCCTCATGCTCCTCCTCCTCCTCCTCACCATCACCACCACCACCATCACCATCACCATTATCATCGCCATCTTCCTCCTCATGATCACCATAAATCATTACCATCATCATCACCATCCGCAGCATCAGCATGATGATCAGCAGCAACAGCAGCATCATAATCGTCGTCATCATCATCATCAGCAGCAACAGCATCACCACCGTCAGCATCATCAGCCTCACCATCATCGCCATCAGCAGCAACATCAGCAGCAGCATCATCATCGTCATCATCATCATCACCATCAGCAGCAGCATCGTCATCAGCATCAGCATCGTCATCAGCATCCTCAGGATCAGTATCATCATCATCATCATCATCATCATCAGCAGCATCGTCGTCGTCATCATCAGTATCATCAACATCAGCAGCATCATCGTCATCATCGTCAGAAGCAACAGTAACATAATCATCGGAATCGTAATCACAAGCATCGCCATCAACAGCACCAGCATCGTCACCTCATTAGACTTCATCATCAGCACCAGCCTCAGCATCATCATTAGCAGCAGCATCATCAACAGCATCATCGTCACTGTCATCACCAGCAACGGCGTGGTCATCATCATCAGCTCCACCATCATCATCATCATCACCATCATCACAACCATCAACAACAACGTCAACATAGACATCATCGTCATAAACACCGTCACCATCAGCAGCTACATCGTCAGTATCGTCGTAGTCATCAACATCCTCATCGTGATCGTCTTCGTCATCATCATCATCATCATCATCATCATCATCATCATCATCATCATCATTCCCATCGTCATCGTCACCACCTTCATCAGTCCATCAGCACCATCATTATCATCAGCAGAATCGTCACCCGAATCCGAATAGTTGGGATCGGCATCGTTTTCGGCATCACCATCGTCATCATCAGTGCCATCATCGCCACCATCACCAACAACAACTACCTCAAAGTCCACCTCAGCATCAACACCAACACCTGCACCGTCAACATCATCATCAGCATTACCAGAAATATCATCATCATCGTCACTGACATCATCAGCGACAGCGCCATCATGATCATAATACTAGTGATAATAAGAATCATCATCATCATCACCCTCATCATCATCATCATCATCAGCATCATCATCATCGTAACCATCAACATCATCATCATCGTCATCGCCGTCCACATCAACACCAACAACAATCGTTTTAAGACTGTCCGTTCTTATCTACTCGCATGCCGTTCAACATGTATATCCTAAACGCTCGATGCCCGCCCTCTTCGTCTTCGATCGCGCCCCCTTGGGGGTAGGTCTTTCTTACCTGCACCGTGTAATCCGTGCAGCCCATAATGCAGGGGAAGAGAGGGCGGATGGAAGGAAGGAACAAGCGGGAGGGAGGAAGATTGAGCACGAGACAGAATAGCAGGAGGGGGGAGAAGGGGGGCTAGGAGCAGAAAACACGTGGCAAAAACCGAACGGACAGATCGGGCGGGTAGACCCGATCGGGCGGGTCGGAAGGCGGGCCCAGGCGGCCAGGTCGAGCAGGCGGGTTGCTGAAGGGTGCGTCCTGCCCGAAAGTCGAGGAAGTCTCAAGCGACAGTGCAATTCCCGAGCAAATCAGGAAATCCACAGCGAGAGCGTGATTCCTGAGTGTTGATGGCGCGGCGCCTGAATAAATTGCGAGGGCGTCCCAAGCGAGAGCGCGATTACTGCATACAGTGTGAGAAATCCCGCGCGAGAACACGATTTCGGAATAAACTGTGAGGAAGTATCAGGCGGGAGCCGTTGCTGTTGTAATTCGGGGGGCAGGCGCCCTCTGTTGTAAAAAACCCGTTGCGAGCCCCGGGAGGAGCACGTTATTCAAAAATGAAATGGTCACCGGAGAAGGGGGGATCAACAATAATTATTCTTCCGGAATGAGATTTCAACAACAACAGCAGCCACAACAACAACCATTTTAAGACTGTTCGCTCCTATCTGCTCGCGTGCGATTCAACACGTACATATCGGTACCCGCCCTCTGCGTCTTCGATCGTGCCCCCTTGGGGGTATATCTTCCTTACCTGCCACGCGCCTGTAGCGCAGCCCCAAAAACTGGGGAACAGAGGACGGACGAAAGGGGGAGGGCGGATGATAGAGCACGAGAGAAATTTGCAGGGGGGGATAGGAGCAAAAAACACGTGGCAGAACCAGACGGGCAGATCGGGTGGGCAGACCCTGAAGGCGGTGCCAGGCGGCCAGGACGAGCAGGCGGGCTGCTGAAGCGTGAGTCCTGCATCAATGGCAAGGAAATTTCGAGCGATACCGCCAGTCCCAAATGAATCGTGACAAAGGTCAAAGCGAGAGCGTGATTCCTGAGTGTCGCGGGCTCGGCGCTTGAAGAAATTACGACGGAGTCCTACGCGACAGCACGATTCCTGCATAAATTGTGAGGAAAGTCCGAAAGCACGACTTTGGAATACCTTGTCAGGAATTATGAAGCGGGAGCCGTCATGGTTGCAGCCGGGGGCAATAACATAGTTCGAGCAGGAAGACGTTCCCTGATAACAAGACAGGGTGCGAGCCACGGAGGAGCAGTTCAATTGAAAAATGCAATGTGCACTAGTGGGGATATCAACAACAACAACAGCATCAACAACAACAACAACAACAACAACAACAACAACAACAACAACACAAACAGCACCAATGATTTTAAGATTTGTCGTTCTTCCCTGCTCGCGTGCCGCTCGGTACGTCTGTCCCGAACCATCGATGCCCGTCCTCTTCGTCTTCGATCGACCCCCTTCGGGGTGCATCATTCGTACCTGCAACACGTGTATTTCGTGAAGCCCTGAAGGCAGGGAAAGAGAGGACGGATGGAAGGAAGGGACAAGGGGGAGGGAGGAAGATGGAGCACGAAATAAAATAGCAGGAGAGAGGCTAGGAGCAGAAAACACGTAACAGGACCAGACGGGCAGATCGGGGGGTAGACCCCAACGGGCGGGTCGGGAAGGCGGGCCTAGACGGCCAGGTCGAGTAGGCGGGTTGCTAAAGCGTGCGGCCTGCATGAGTCGCGAGGAAGGCTCGAGCGATAGCTCGGTTCCCACATAAATCTCGGAGAAATCCACAGCAAGAGCGTGATTCCTGCATGTCGAGGGCGTGGCGTCTGAACAAACTGCAAGGATGTCCCACGGGAAAGCGTGACTCCTGCATCGAAGTACGAGGAAGTCCCTTGCGAGAGCGCGGTTTGGGAAGAAATTGTAGGACAATGTCAGGCGGGAGCCGTTGCTGTTGTTGTAAGCCGGGGGCCAAGGGCGTAGTTTTAGCAGGAAGCTTTTCCCATGTAAAAACTCAGCGATCACTGGGAGGGGCACTTCAATTGAAAAAACACGGAGGTCACGCGAATGCGTGAGTCCTGCATGATTCGCCAAGAAGTCTCGGGCGAGAGCGCGATTCCTCAGTAAATTCTGAGACGTCCCAAGCGAAAGCGCGATTCCTCAATGGCGAGGGCGTGGCGCCTGAATAAGTTGCTAGGAAGTCATTGGCGAGAGCGCGATTCGTGGATAACTTGCAGGAAGTCC